TTAACAATGAAGGATATTTATATCTAATTCATTTCAGTCTATACAGATTTAGGTTTTCTATCAAAAGAGAAGTATATGAATTTTCAGGACAGATATATCAAAGGTACATTTAAAAGAAACAGAGACAATTTAAAGGAAATTCAATACACTCTCTATTACAAGGCTCTGATTAACTTAAGGGTGAAACGTATCCCCAGCAAGGTGGCTTAAAGACAGTGTAGCACCCCAAACTCCCAATTTCCAAGGTTTTGTGGATGTGGGGCAGGCTCCAAACACTGACCCATCACAGTGTTTGAGATTTATAACCTGTATTATCTGAAGAAGGTCATAAACATCCAACAGTCAATGTCAACAATGAACACAACGGTACTTTAAAAAGTTTATGGAAAAATAGAGTTAAAAGATAATACGAATCTTTCTATGAACTGTTTGAAGTTCCCTCGTACAAAACAAACTATCCCACTGCTTGCTCATTTTATACTTTTTTAGTTTTAAAGTTAATTCGGTGCGTGAAACATGAGCAAATATAATTGGGAATCAAGGTTCTTTGCCATTTTCATCACCTTTAAAATAAAGATTGTGAGAGCTCGAGATGAGTTGTCAGTGCAGCTCCCAACAGCTTCTGCTGACCTTTCTAACTGAACAGCACTGTTATTCTGTTCCAGATCCCATGCAAAGCCCTTTGCAGATACCATCTTATTTAATCCTTGCTATAATACTACTACCTAGGTAACTGATTACCTCTGCCTCAAAGAAGTAAACTGAGGCCCAGAGAGATAAAATAACTTGTCCAAGGACAAAGAGCCAGTGAATGAAGAGTGCTGGGATTTGAAGCTTGGAATCCAACATCCTTAATTAACCTGCCCCCCCCCCCCCAATACGCTTTTGACCCAAATAGAAAATGGTTCTGTCTTCATGGAAAATGACATACAACCCCTTCTGGATGGGACACACAGACTATCAAAGACTTGCACAGTGTATAATGGAAACTTTCCAGAGGAAACCCAAGGGCAGTATCCTATTCCTACAGTAAAGGGGGTGTGTGTAGCTTCATTTCTTCTCTTACTCCCTCACCCAGATGCAGTCCTCTTAGATACCCTGAAAACATAGAGGTTCACAGGGAAATCCCAAAATATGCTCTGACTGATTCAACAAACACTAACTGTGGGCATGCCCCCATGTGCTAGGGTAAGCCACACTGAGTAAGACAGACCTGCCCCTTGCTTATTACCTGGTAAACAGGTGTATTCACAAAGCGATAGAAGCTGGAATATATGGAACAAACACAAGGCTTGGAACAAAAATAACAAGAAAAGGGGGATTTCCTTTAATGTGGGTGGTCAGTGAAGGTATCTCCAAAGAGTTGATAGTCGAACTGAGCACTAAGGAATGAGAAGGAGAGAGCCATGAGAAGCACCGGAGTTATTCCAGGCGAAGAGCACTGTGGTCCACAGGCAAGGGAGATTTTATAGGATCTGAGCACAATTATCACATTCAAATAAAATACTGGAAACCACATAGCAAAAGCTCAAAGTTTCTAAGAGTCTTTTGAACAGGCAAGATCTTGAAGCCACTATCTCTACAGAGTGAACCTGATGAAAGCAAGCCTATATTAGGCAGACTATGAGTCCCCAAAACCATTGATTCTGTAATATGGGGTCACTGTTAACGAAATGATCACTGCAGGCTGCTAATTATAGGTGGTGTGACTCCTACCCATCTCAGACAACCACAGTCATATGGTTGCTACTGCTTCCCAATCTTGGGACACATCACCACCTGGGCCATCCCTGAGCACTGCTGACAAACTTAACCTGTCACATAGCAGCTTCTGCATGCAGATGACACTGTTCTTTGAAGCCCATTCCAAGAAGATCTGTGGGGGACCAGGGCCTGCTTTGCAGAATCAGCACAGAGGCAGGGACAGGGCGTGACATAGGAGAAGATGGACATCACATAGCATCAGCCTGCACAAGCGAAACCCTACAGTTTCAGATTAGCATCAGCAATACCAACTTGAGAGCAGTTAGTGAATACTGCTTGCTAGGCAGGCCCACTGTCTGACTAAGTAAAAAAAAGGAATGAAAAAGGAAACACATGTCTCTCAGGCTAAATTGTCAAAATGGGACCCAGAGATCTAAGCTCTGCTAACAGGTCAGTTCAGTTATATTCATGGCTGCAGATGTCCTTGAAGATGGCATCAGGCCACCTCCTAAAGCTCTACTTAAATTTACAAGAGAATACAAGGTGAGAAGCAATAGATTGTAAAACATCTATCAGAAAACAACGCCCAATGAACCAGCCACAGGATGGTAAAAACTCCTTGAAGACAGGGATTCTGCCATATCACCTGGGGTGCCTAGCACAAGTACCATCTCACTAACTCATCATAGCAAGCTAGCTATTTTGATCCCCATTTTCCAGATAAGGAAGTCATGTACCAGAAAGGTTAAGTAACTTGGTCAGGGTTCCTCAGCTAGTAAGTGGAAAAGGCAGAATTTGAATCTAAGTTGATTTGACTCCAAAGTGGACACTCTTAACCATGCTGCTAAGCTATATCCCTAGGACTTATTCAATAAATGATTGTGAATGCATCAACTACCATATGTTTCATGAACAACCATCACAGGCTGGTACAGCCAGACTATACTATAAAGCATAGGGAAGTGTCATTCTGTGCATTCCATGAGATAGAAATTTTCACAAGAATAATGTATGGTCTAAAATAGAAAATTTGGACAGTGATGGCTCACTTGTCCCCCCATCCTACCCCCAAAGTAAGCTTTCAGCAGAGATATGGGGAGTGGCAAATCACAGAGATGTAGGGTGGATAGTTCTGTCCCACCTCTGAGTCTACATAAGAACAGAGGGATGGTGCAAAGCCATCAGTAATGTCCCCTACACATATTGGGGAGAAGAGAATTGTGTGTGAGCCTACATGTGGCTAGGACCCCACACTGGTAACCCAAGCCTTAACAAAAGCTTATATCCACAGAAAAGAAAATCCTTTAGCATATTCAGGAGTTTAAATTTTGGTTTACAGCTCTCTTGAGAAAGAAATTTACTTCTCAGATTTACCATGGCAGTTTCAGCAAGAATATTATGGTTCTAAAATATTTACTGAGATATCTATCTCTGCTAAAAGTCGAATAGGCTGAAATTCTAACATGTAAAATACAAATAAGACACATGTCAACAGAAGGCAGAAGGCATTCACTGAAAATAAATGAAAATTAAACATGCAAGAAAACTGCAATCATGATTTTGTGTAAGTAATCACAATGATGCTCATGAATCACTCGTCTTTCCTTTCTTAGTACTAGAATCCAGAATGTATGTGGGACACCAAATTGCTCAAGAGTCAGGATGCATTTCCCAGACACCCTTAAAGTTAGGGATGACTAATAGGATGTAAGTAGAGTCACTGGGTAAGGCTTCAGGGAAAGCTCTTTAAAGGAGTCTGTCTCAACTGGAAGGATTACTCTTTTCGTCTCTTGCATTTCCACCTCTTCCCTTCAAGATGCAGAGGTAATGGCCAGCGAGCCAGCAGCCATAATATGTCCTTGAGGAAGAAGCAACACACTTGAACAAACAGAGCAGAGAGACAGAAGGCACAAAGTGCTCTCCCTGGATGTAGTCTTTTATGAGATAGCATATGCAAATAATTTTTTATCCTTATACAAGAGTACTTCAAAAAATTCATGGAAAAATAGAAACAAAAGGTAATAAAAATCATATAGCAGCATCTCTGTTACTAGAAAACAATTCTTAACTGATATAATGATATGAAAACATATCTAAAGGCTACACTATGATTTTCTGTGAGGAAAAAAAAAAATTAGAAAATTCATGAATTGGGATTCTGATTACCCCTCTATTCCCAAAGCTGTTTGTTTAAGTATGACTTTCCTTCTTAATTAGTACTGCTAGTCTGGAGAAGCATATTTGCTAAGCCTGTCTCTATGTTTTGACATGCAAGACTTGTGAAATTCAAACATACTTGTAGACACCCAAAGCATTATTATTTATTAAGACCTATATTAAAGGTAGACGATCTTACGGCACTCTCAGATTCTGATGATTAAAGAAAATTTAATCATTCTTCATTGGCATTTGATCTTTAGCCTGCCATAATCTACCCATATATCCCTTCATCCATATTGGATACTAAAAACACATTTCGACAGCTTGTCCATCAACTGTAAAATCGAAGGAGCGTACAGACAAACCACATTACTCAGAAAATAAAAGCTCTTTCCCCTACACTCATTTAGTTCATGAAAGCCTAGTGTGATTCAAAAGGTGAAGAAGGTATACCCCACCAGGTGAACCGAATGACTGTAGAGCCATCCATCACGTTTGTAAGGAGTTTCGAAATTTTCAAAATGCTTTCGCACACAATGTATCTTGTTTCATCCTTACACCATGACCCTGAGAGGCAGTAAGGGTGGGTATTTTTTATTCTTGTTTCTCCCAGAATAATGATTTGTTCAAGGTCAGAGGGACTGGTCCCCAGCAAGGTGTCAGGATTAAAGGTCATACATCCCCTTTTGATACATCAGATCAAGGGGCAGCAAACTACGGCCTTCAGACTAAACACAGCTCATGGCCTGTTTCTGTGAATAAAGTCTCACTGGAAGGCAGTCCCACCCGAGTGTTTGTGTATTGTCTCTGGCTACTTTTGTGCTACATCAGCAGAGCTGGCTAATTGCAAGAGAGACTGTACGGCCCATGAGGGTGACAATATTTACTACCTGGCCCTTGACAGACAGTTTGCCAACTCCTGTTTTAGGTCACCTTGCTACAAAGAGGATCCAAGGTATAGACTCTATTCTTGAAAACCACAGAGTTATCATGGCAGGCTATGAGTGCTAGCTTTGGAAGTAGTGCCAGATAAAGAGACAGTCCGTGATCTTCTGTGAGATTACTACATTGACTTCTGTGTCACCTGCAGTAGCGGATGGCAATTTTTACGTGGTACACAATACCAATGTACTCACCCGGAACTTTTAACGTGTCTCACAGCCATAAAAAGCCTGGGGTCACTGGTAGGGGGCATGCATAATGCCACAGGACTGCAACACACAGAGAGACACTGTAAAGCAAAAAGAACAGAAGAGGTTAAGTGAAGGGGCAAACAGGCTTCAAAAGCCACAAACATGCAAGCCTTGGGTATTCTTTGTTGACACATTACATTTTCCTTTAATATATAATCATGCATCAAAGCATCTATTTTGTCCTTTCCCTTCTAGAATCAGCATTTACTCTAGCTTATAATCTGAGTTATATTATAGCATTATAGTAGAAGGATGAAAAATGGATTTATATAGCCAAGTAAGGTTGACACTCTTGAAGGCACTGAAATTCACTCTGGAAGTGTAGGTTTTTTTTTTTTTTTTTTTTTTGTCTTTTTATGTGACCGGTAAGGGGATCGCAACCCTTGGCTTGGTGTCGCCCACACCGCGCTCAGCCAGTGACGTGAGCGCCGCTGCGCTCCCAAGCGCTACACTCTCCGGAGTGCGCCACGGGGCCGGCCCAGAAGTGTAGTTCTTTAAACTTCCATAATTTCTTACTACTCAAGATAATAAGCCTCATAATTACAATGCTAACACATCCTGAGAAATAAGTTTTGGTCTTTTAGTCTCTGTCAATATATCTAGCAGAAGCAACAGGAGGAAATAAATACAGACACAGGTACCCCCTAAAAAACAGACAAGCTCTCTCCTGCCAGCCAAATACAAAATCTTACTTGCCACTGTTAACAACTCTTTTTTCAGCTGCACTTCAAATGCAGAGAGAGGGTGTGACACAGACTTCTCATGGAAATAACGTGTGCATGTGCTGAGGCTGCAAGCTTTCATGGCTTAGTTCGGTTATTAGTAGAATGTTTACCAAATCCAATTCCAAGTAAGTCAAAGTTGCTGACAGATAAGTCAACTCATCCTCGAGCACGTTCAGAAAGTTTCTACAAATTGCTGTCGGTAGCAAGGTTTCACATGCCAGGTCTTTTCTGCATAGAACCTTGAGATGGTAATGCCACCTGTACAACCCTCAAGATTATAAAAGGGACTCTCTCCAATACAAGAAAAGCAGGAGCGCTTTGTGGGGTATGTGTGTGTGCATGTGTATGTGTGCTTATGTGCGTGTGTGTGTGTGTTTCTCCTTTAACAGTAAACGTAGGCAATACTCTGTGAATGTACATGGTTTCTAACCTAATCAGATGGAGAAGTTGAAACCGAAAAGGAGACACACAAAATTTTATGATTTGAATAGTCACGTATCTCCCGAAACTATGTGGGTTGCCCGTCTACCAGAACTCAGAAGACAGTTCAGACATGGTGCTCCTGGTGGCATCTCTCCTAGATGGGAGATAAATTCAGGTCACGTTTTCCCATACTGTTTTCCAGGTATCAGTTGTCTAGTGTGCAAATCCAGGTATCAGTTGTCTAGTGCAAAACTGCCAAATATAGCAACAGTGTAAGAATCTCCATTCTTACACAAGGATAATGTGCTGTGTTGGCATTATTCTTCTGAAACAAGGCAGCTTAAGACTATGAAAGAATGCATCAAAAATATTTTCTAAGATAATTTCAGTTGGCAAAGGCTGTTCAAACTTAATTGGTGAACTCATTAATGAGCAACTGTCACCACAAGAAAGAGGACCATTGTCATCTACTTATCACAGCAATGAGATAACAAAGTTAATTATATTTTTCAATGGATGTACACTCGCTTCCTTTTAGATTCTACATTTCCAAACATTTGTTCTGACACCCCATGTGTTTGTTCCTTTTAACAAAAAACTATCAGCTGTGGACTCCTCAAGGAAAAGTCGGCAGATCACAACCCTCACATCAGGGCCAAGCAATTGAAAAACTTTTCCACCCTCTATTATCTACTTGTAAAACATTATAAGCCTGTAAACTAGTTAATTTACGAGCCGTGTTAATAATTTGCTCACACTTGATCACAGGTTTTGCAAACACAGTTTTCAGGGATGTGGGAGGATAATTTGTAGGTCCAGCTTCTCTCCTAAGGGGACACTAACTGATTTGACACAGTAACATGACATTGATGGCGGGGCACACTAATGACCGCACTCTAAGACATGGCTGTCAGCCTGTCGTTCCAGTGAGAAGCTGGCTTGCTTTCACGGCTGCTCGGGACTCGATGCTCAACTAATTATTCAGACAGCGACATTAATGAGAGCCCTCATGTTTATTTTCAACATACTAGCCAGCGCTTAGCTTCCATTTGTCTGATATGGTCAGTGATTAAAATGTGTTTCATGAATAGTAGTAAATTTGAACTCTCATATAACAAAGAAGCATTGTAGAAGAATAAGGAACAGCTGATTGGAAAACCAACCTGGTCAACTCAACTTGTTTTCTGCCTCAAATATCATGGACAAAGTGACAGGTAGTAGAGAATGACATAAGTACCAAGGAATGTGAAAGGAATATTTTTTAATTACACATGTCCATGGACAAGCTTCACTTTTGACCAAGGGCACTGAATCAAAACATGGTCAAGAGCAACTTCTATCTCAAATAAACTTCACTGACTTTATGATACTAAATGAAGTTTTGTTTTGCTTTGTTTTTCTGGCAGCTGGCCAGTACAGAGATCCAAACCCTTGACCTTGGTGTTACGACACCACGCTCTAACCAACTGAGCTAACCAGCCAGCCCTGAATGAAGATTTTTAAGTTAGTGTTTCCATGGAACAACCAAAAGTTTTGCTTTAATATACTTTTTCAACCTTGCAAAAGTTTGCTCTTTGATTAAACTGTCTCCAATATGATCTTTGCAAACATCAATAAATGCAGTTTGTTTTTTTCCCCAAATCTATTGTAAAACTGTACTGTCCAGGGTTTTCTGACAAGTGTCTTTTAATATCCTCTTACACATCTTGTTTCTAGTCTACTAAACCTTGTAATCAAGTTCTTTCTACATTAAATTAAATTTCTATTTTGGTATGATAAATTTTGTCCTTCGTTTTATGGTGATTATAATCCTAAAATATTCATATAATCATAACTTAAACTGAATAACTTTTAAAAAGGGTATGCTTAGGGGCCAGCCCGGTGGCGCATGCTTGGGAGCGCGGCGGCGCTCCTGCCGAGGGTTCGGATCCCACATACAGACCGGCCGCTCACTGGCTGAGTGAGGTGCGGGCGCAACACCGAGGGTTGCGATTCTGTTGCTGGTCCCGGTCCAGTACAGGCGCGACACTGAGGGTTGCAATCCGTTGCCGGTCACGAAAAAAGGAAAAAAAAAAGGGGGGGGGTATGCTTAGATCTATTAGAGGTATTGAAAAATTGAAAATGCTCTTGGTGTGGTTCACTGTAGAATGTGCAATTCAAATTAAATAACAGCGGTAGTATTTAAACAAATGTTCTATCTGCCATCGTGGCTAAAGAATTCTTCTCAATACTGTGTATGACTTCTGATTTCATAAAATAGTAAAAAAAATATGAGTCAATGTAGATCACTTTGAGAATGAAAATGCATTGCATGTAACATTTCTTAAGTATGTATTTCTAAACTTACTCATGCTGAGATAGATCTGTAATTTTAGAATGCCAAAATGCCTAAATGGCACACACACAACATGTAAGAAGCAGATTCAGACTGCGGGCTAATTTTTAAAATATATTTAAACAAGTATCCAGATAAATTGTTCCAAGAGAGCATGAATGTCTCCAAATGCTGCTATTTCCCTGGGTACCTGTTACAGACAGATCAGCATCTCTGGACAGTTTATGTGTGGTAAACAGTTGTCCTCCATATTAATCCAAGAAAATATGGTCAGTCCGTGGCAGAGACTGGCGAGATGCTCATCAAGTCCATTTCTTCTTCTTCCTGGGCAGCAGCTGGAATTTATCTCCCAGAATCCCTTGTAGGTAGGCAGGGCCTACGACTGAGTTCTGGCCAAATAAATGGAAGTGGGTATATGCTACTTTTGTTCCGATCCTGAAGCCTCCTCCACCATCCTGAATGCTGTCTTCCCTTGATTGTGGGCCCAGAAATCTAGTGGCAAACTCCTAGTTCCTGGAGATAGTGAAGTCACTGAACGAGATGAGCCAAGGCTCTGAAAGACCACATGCAGCAGAGCCACCACCACCCATCCCCCATCAACCAGCACTAAACTGCAAGGTGCCTAAGAAATAAGCCTGCATTGGGTTAAGCCCCTGAGATTCAGGAATATTTGTTACAGCTACCAAGATCTCTTACCCAAATACACAGACCTTTCTACTTTACTTCTTCTCTGGGCAATCCTAAGTAAGCAAAAGTACTGTAAATTTAGAAAAATTCCTGAAGACATTTCATAATTGTGATTATTTGCTTCTCTACCTAAGCTAAGGGTAGAAAAGGGAAAGGGAACCAACAGCTAATGTATTCCCCAAATGTGTCAGGCATGTCTTTCCTTTACTCATTCTTCACATGGCCCAATGAGGAAGTTTGATTCCCATTATATGGATGAGAATTCTGAGCCTCTAAGAAATGAAATACAAGCAAATGCTACAGAATGTTAACCTAGTTGATATTTTTCTAGTTGAACGCCTATTGGCTTTCAATATCCAAACTTTATAGAAAATGTATATTTCCAAACAAAACATTTTTTGCTGTTGCCTATAAAAGAAAAAATTCTATGATACTCCCCAAATACAGTATTTTTTTAAAAAATGGGTGAGGAGAAATTGTAAAGTTGCAATACAATTGGTAGAATGTCAGAAACTTCCATAGAGGTTTTTGTTTGCCAGCAACTAAAGAGATGTGTCTCAGATGATCTTGGTGATTTTTTTTTAAAAAAAGCCACATTTCAAGCAAAACAAATGTATGTTGAGAACATATTTACTGTTGAGTAATCAATGTCTGAAACATTTTTACATCTTTAATGCAATAGTTGTTTATATAAGGCATTTTACTACATTTTAGAACAGAGGTTGGCAAATATTTTCTGTAAAGGAAAATATAGTAAATATCTTAAGCTTTGCAGTTATAAGCCCTCTCTGACAACAACTTAACTCGCCATTACTGTAGGAATGCAACCATAGGTAACCATAAGTAAACAAATCTGTGTGTTCCAATA